ATTCATTGATAATGATCACAAGGAATTTGAAGTAAAAGAATGATGAGAAATAGTTAAGAAGACGGACATTAAATAGGAACTTTGCTACTAATATTCGTAAAAATTTCTATATTTCAACCAAAACTATAAGAAATGACTTTAAAAGCGTCGTTTGTTCGCTAACAAGCCAATATAGGCGGCAAAAGCGCCTGAAACTCAGTAAACTTCCGATAAGACTTCAGCTGACTAATCGCTTTCATTTTCATTGTCGTGAATTATTCGTATTCTTTAACCGTTATCACTACTAATTTTTGTTACTTATGTATTCAAAGGAGAAGAATCTAGTAGAAATGAATTTCGCAGAAACACTTTTTAAACTTTACAACTGAAAAGTCAAAAACGTTTGAGCAATCCAAAAGAACTGAAAAAAATCACTTCCATATAAAAGCTAATCTATTAATTCATAAAAATTTTGAAAGTTTACTGTTCAGTTTGAATTTGCATCTGTTAATGTCGGAATTTCTGATTCAGCTGCAATGAATTTAAAAAAGCTCACCCAATCGAAATTCATGCAGCTACAAGCATTAAAAACCATCTTGAATGTTTTGGAAAAATAAATTATTACTTCAGAAGAAAATGTAAAGTCTTTAACTTTTATATACTCTAACCTCTTCTAACTCTATTTCTAATACACTCAAGTATTTCTGCAGAACTCACATTTATATGCAACTATACTACCATCGATAACATTTTCTGCACATCTGAAAACCGATTCTTTACACCTAAAAAGTTGCTGCGAACTTTTGATCACTTCATGCACCTGTGCTTTGCTGCTTTGAACACTTTTCAACTACGAATTTGATTTCTCAACCATCTACTTACATTTTTGCAATTTATATTCATAAAAAGTTAGTCTTTACGACATTTAGGTTTTTTACGCACAAACCAGAATTATTTCATCACATCCATGTACTTCAGAATGATTTTGAGCATCACTTTATCACAGCTACCGGCATTTGAGAACCACCGAAGACCTCGATGGTAGCGATTAATATTAAACTGTCCGTCCCTCACTTGAACACTACCACCCCAAAGCTTTATCATTTTTCAGTTTTAAATGTATTCTTGATAAAAAACATGGATAATATTACATATCTAGCAAATTCTCAAAAATCCAACAGCATTATCAGTCTTAGGCTATTCGAATATCAACACAAATATTAAGCTAAAAATACTAGCAAACACGTATCGGTTACTTCGTACAGCCTTTAGTTTATCCATACTTGCCACGTTTTACCTCTTCTGCCTACTGCCCAATTAAGTAATCTCACCGTTTCAATTTCAATTTGCGATTAGGCTAGCCAATAATGCGCTACTTAAAATGCCTAAAGATTGTTGATAATTCTTCTACATTCTGATAATTATAATAATGATGCTTATGAATATTAAGATAAGTGCTGATTATTACGAGTTACAACAGTTAATCAATAATTCGCTATCAAATAATTATGATAAATATGCATGAGTTAATCATTATTCAGTTCTTACGAATATTTGTGCATTTAACTCAGACGAAACTAAAAAATTGTGATAGTATTTTTTGCGTATATTAGGATGCCAGAAAAATTTTGGTCGCGATTTTCTCAATAAGGCAAGTGCTAGGGTGATTTTTTGCCTTCCTAATCAATAACATATGGGCTGATATTCTTGCTGATAAGCTGAAAAATCGATTAATTTCTGAACAACTTGCATCAAAATTTAAATTACTTAATAAAGTAATTCTGGAAATTTTTCGAAACCAAATAATATGATTTTAAAAAACTTTCTTGCAAGGTTTTTACTATTTCACAAGAGGAAGCTTACTACAGGAGTAAATCTTGAACCATTATGAACTCATATCATGCAAACTGATGCATAATATCTTGCTAGTTCTAAGTTATTTCTTACAACTTCTAAGCTTCATTTCAATCACTTCTACAAATACTAACAATTCCTTTGGATTGAACGCAATATTTTGAAAAGTAGATTAACGCTTTCCATCACTGAAATACCAGAACAACTCAGATCTAATTCCTAGCAATTTACCTTTCAAAGTTCTTTTTGAAAATGAAATATTTGAGGATATTTCAGCATATTCAACATTCACGCAGAAATGCGAAATCAAGCTTAGAACGAAAAATTGCTAGAAGTATTAGCAATATATATGAGGATTCCGATCGATTTGGAACAGTTTATCTAAAGCAGTGGATGCATTTTCATTTGGTAACATTTCTTCGCATTCCTTCGACCTATTTTGAACGAGAAATCTCAATTGCTAATTACTGCTTCGCACACGTTTTTTTGCTTTTCAGCAGTACTTCATTAGTGCCGTTAATTAATAAAATCAAATTGAATTTATGGCTTTCAATCACAATCACTAAACATAAGATGAAAGTAATGAAATCTGAATTACAGTTCGAAAAAATGTATACTAATAAGACTTTGTTCCTTTAATGAATTAAACGCTACCTTGTTATCTGTATAAATTATTTGTTAGACTCTTCAGCCGTACTAGCAGTAGTACTCAATTCAGCTTTCAAGAGAAAGGAACAAATGTGTTTGTCAGCTAGTATTGTTGGCATTTCAGAGTTAGACTTATATTCTTTTCCCATTTAGAAATTTCAATTCTACCGATATCAAAATGGTTCAATTTGCAGTGCTGCAGAATAGTAAGCTAAAAGCTAAAGCTATCAACACATGATGGGACGTATATTAAATTTCATTAATAAAAATGATTCATAAACTGCAAAAACGAAGCATTCAATTTGTCTGTCTCTTTTAGCTCTATTCTGAAAATGCAACATGTGGATACATAACAAAAGTATACAAAAACGGAAATATATTGACTAGACTCACGCAAAAATAGGGTAATCCTCAACGCAAAGACAGACTTAAAAGATTTTACCGCTTGTAGATTATTGTAGAACATATTTTGAGGACCATAAGTGATCATTTTTTATTATTTTGACTAAACACATGAAGCATTCTGAAAGATGTTTTATTTAGTCGTAATGTAAGTCATCAGTTTAATCTTATTTCTTACTACGTATTCAAATTGACTACTATGGTATTAGCTATTTCTTATCTACTGATTCATCCGAGCAATGTAATTGTGCACCAAATCCACTACATCTTCACTATTATCACGATTTCTTCTTAAAGTCTAAAGTAAATTTTGAACACGAATAGCCAACCTTGGAATTCAAGTACCTTCATTTAAGAACTTTAATCCGTCCATTTAACAAATACAAAATAAAAAAAATACAATACACAAGACTCCGATTGACTTAACACTAGTAAACATAATACCAATTTAACCCGCATACTTTGCATTACCTCAATTATGAATAACTGCCATGTTAAATCATTATTTAATTTCAAAAATAGAACATGCAAATTAAGCAAACACATTAATTCTGCCGCCTTAATTTTTCTTCTGTTATTTTCGAAAACTCTTGTAGCTTTTTAGCACGAAAAATGTTCTTAGTGATAATGTATATGTATTGTGAGATAAATTGTGAAATATTTTGTACAAGATGAAAAAAACCTACAAAAACAAAAAGATTAACTTGATACAATACCAAACTGCACATTTGTATATGTAAATTCTTGATATAAATGTTCGAAATTTCTTGAAATTGATAGGAAACTTAAAATTTTTTTCATAACTGAAAAAACCAAGCAGTAACATTTTTTTCACTATTTGAATCCTGTAACAACACCAATGACAAAAAAATTTCGAAAACACACGACATTTATTTTTTTTGAAAATATTATTTCAAATAGTTTGGTTGCAACGAGCTTGAACAAGGAGTTGCCACACTTGGATTCCTCCAAAAATCTTATCAGATCAAATAATTGAGCATCATGTTCTTTCTTTGTCATCAATAAAAGTGACCTCGCTGAGAATGAGAACTTTTGATGGAAGTGGATGTGCTTGAGGACTCAAAACAGTCAACATTCTTTTCTCCATGTCTACATTCGTAACTAAGATAAAACCCATAATATTGGTTGTTAATACTGATTGATCAACTACCGTGCACATGGAGAGTGATAAAAGATGATGGATTAAGTCCACACACGGTTCGACTGACACCACCTCAAAAAATTTTTCACAAGAAGTTAAAGATTTCCAAGCTGAACATTTGAAAACAAAACGGTTGAATCATGCATATTTTGTGAAGCTTTTACTTTATTCAAAGGTTGAGCAAACGACACAAAGATTTTTTTTAGTTTCTCATTATTTAAATGAATCAAAAATTTTATGAAAATTTAGAGCACAAAAATTTAGTGAAAACTACTATTTTAAAAGAGTTGCGTTCTAAAGTAATAAAGAGCAATATTAATGCACTAAATAAAAGAAACTATGATTAAGTGCAATGATGTACAAAAAAGATTTGGTTTGACCAAAATTTCTTAATTACAAAGGTAGAGTAGAATTAATACTTTTGTTCGATGATCTTCTATTTTCATTCCAAATGGCAAACATTCAATTGGCAGACGTTCACCTCCGATTTTACATATTTGAATTTCATCAAATGATACTTCAAATGTGTGTGGATAAAGTGGCGAAGCGCGCGTACCATAAAAATACTAAAAATTTTATAACATGCATAACAAAAAAATTACATAAAGATGTCTCAAAAAAATTTATGAAAAGCTTGTATAACTTCGTAATACAAATTTCTAAAAAAAATCTATGAAAAGCTTGTATAACTTCGTAATACAAATTTCTAAAATTTCTAAGCAATTAAAACTACATAATGAAAAAGATGCATGACAATTTTAGTACATTAATGCGGCAGAAGCCATGTCATTTAAATATAACTAACTAGAAGACCTTGTGCATAACAGAATTCCGATTAGACATTCTCAACTCTTTTGAACGATTTTCCACACCACCAGATTTAGGTTGATGCAAAATCTGGAAACGAACTCTCAAATCGAAATAGAAAACACAATAATTAGTATTATAGGAAAAATTTATATCGTACTGTAGATAACATGCATATGAAAAAAAATAGTATAACTTTAAATTCGCAAAATTATTTTATCTTGTAATTTGTGCTCGGTAAATTTTATGCACTGGAACTTTCCACACTTCCGCTTTAGTAGAAGAGTGGGTCATCGATTTAGAAATTATAACCTCAATTCTAAATTTATTTATTTTCCTATTGAAAACACTTAATACATCTCACATTACTTCTAAGAGGTGCGCTCTATAACCTACCATATTGTTGAGAGAGAAGGACTAAAATCCGAACCTTAACAAAAGATGGTAAATCTCGCTGCAATTCATTATAAAGTCGTTCATGATCTAACACAATAACAACGTCAACTTCAAATTCTTCAGCTGCATTTACCAAACATGCATATCTAGAACCCAATTAAATTTCAAACAAGTTTTCATATCCAATTCAAATTTAATTACGAAAATATTTCTCAATGTTTGCACTTTTTTTTTCCTTACCTACTTTTGAAAAATCGTTTGATTTGAGAAAACGAGTCATGAACTAAATATTTGCTTTTGAATGAGTCAATATATTATAAATGCAATTGAATGGATAAAGTGCTTACCCTTCTCCTTTAACCCATCCACAAGTATTAATTATTAACCCTCCATAAGTGGCATCCTGGCTAGTTTTTTTTCGTTTCGCAACTGCCTCCGAAAGTTGTTTCACCAACAAATCATAGAGAGGAATATTAGAAGAAGGCGTAAGACTTCCAAACTTAAAAAACGGATGTAGAAGATATCTAATAATCGAATTTCCCACGTTTAAAAAACAATTTTATAGTACAACACATTAAATGGAAATAAAGGATAATCAAGAGAAAAATAATCTATTTGAAAAAAATAGTGGGTAGAAAAACTTGCACAGTTCAAGACAGAACATCTGACAAATGAGATTGTGCATACTTGCTAAAATAAATAATTAAGCTAAAAAATTCTTGATTCAAAAATAATCATGTCATAACTGCAAAGACTTTGAACTCAAAACCGGAATATTTCATGATGATACCGACAATTATTTCTTTGTTCAGAAATGTAAACATACATGGTACACTAATGGTGCTTTTTTATCGAAGCCCTCAACAACATCGGCAGTCTTTTCAATGTACAAAGCTCCTACAGTACCAGGTACGGAAATGCTTCCCTAAAATATTTACCTACATGAAAATGAGTCGAGTGATATAAATAAGTTTCCATAGAAAAATACTGAAAACACTATAAATATTTCAAAATATTTGTACACTGAATTCGTCTCTTTATTAAGTCACAAATTGCAAAAAACTGTTATTTTTCTGTCTTAGCAATAGAATTCAAATACAGAGATTTCAAAATTACTTGTCCAACATCCAGGTCTACGAATATTGGTGTTCTACCCACTCGTACTGCATAATTACATAAAATACGACACACTGTTGTCTTGCCTACATCTGTTGGGCCTACTATCATCAATGAAGGACCACGTGCTTGTTCTTGTTGTACTACTACCGACTCAGCATGCTCACGTAACTGTTCCAATGCCGCATGAGTATTTAAATAAATAATCTGTAACAAATTTTTTGAAATTTTTATCTTTCGCTACACCTTTTATTTTTTTAGCAATACCTAAAAAGTGGAAAGAGAGGAATGCTTGAGAAAGTAAAGAGTTATAATGCTCATAAGCAGCTTAATTTCGACCCAGTAAAGCACTAGAACTAAAACGTTTACAAAAACCAGAATTAATGGATTTTAAGTTTATTTATTTTTTGGGTAAATAAGTTTTTTAAAAGTAAAACACAGATACTTGCCAACTACAGTGAAATTCATCATAATGAACAGTATAAGGAAAGAAAAATACCATCGGAGTTTGTTCAGCGACATATGCACTCTCTGTTTTTCCAACCAGCTCTACAATCGCTTTCTTCCAAGTGAAGACAGCTACTCTTGAACCTGCAGTACGCTTTTTTTGGTTTAAAGACTCCTACAATAGAAAAATCAAATTTTTGCGTCTACATATTTCCGGGGAATTGTTCAAGTGCTTTCTTATGAAAATTTGCTGAACATGTTGAATGATGCTAGACTAAACAGCAGACAAAGAATAATAAAGTTGAGCAAAAGAATATATTTATAAAAAACACCAGTTTTATGAAGATATTACCTGGCGGGAAAACATATTTTTTATGTTGTATAAGTTCAGTACCAAAAACTTCTGCACGTCCATCAATGAGTTCTAACACAACGTCACCTTTATTTGCCACCTAAAATGAAGACGTATTTGAGTTATCTTTTTAAAGCAATCCTAAATTTCAGGAAACTTCCGAAAATAATTCTATTTTTTGACTTTACTTAGCCTTTTCATGAAAGGACAGAAAAGCTGAATTAAAGTGATATAAAAAGTATATATAAGGTGAGTTAGGCAAAAGAATATTAAAAAATGAATTTAACACTGATCAACCTATAATAAAAGTTTAATAATAAAAGTTATATATTGCATCTGAAATTTCAACAACTTCAAAACGAAGTTCGTTGTCTTCCTTTAAATTGAATTCTTGCACACTATCTTCTGATGGTGATTTCGCTGAATCCATTAGATCTAAATAATAATTTTTTCATACAAATGTGAAACATCAAATTATTGTTTAATTTTCACTAACAAACATGAATTTAAAAGAAGACAATGTTAACTGATCAACTTTAATGTAAGTAAGCATTGTTTAACCTTAAAATAAAGTTTAAAAATAATTATTCTTTTAAAATAAAAAAGAAGTGATTTGAGAAGTTTAATTACTGAAATTGTGGAGGGAAGAGATTAATTTATACGGCAGGCTACGCTTCATCAAACTTCTAATTTACTTTCAATTGATTTGAAAATGAGGTTGAAAGTACGCAAGGAATGAGCAAAATTGAAGTTGGAAGCACGCAAGGATTACAGCAAGATTTAATGAGATAGCAAACGTAAAACTTTTGTATAAATTAACTTGAAAAGTAGCATGGAAATGATGCATTCTCTTAAGCTATTAATGTCAGAGATGCATACGGCCAGTATCTTTCAACCACCAAGTAACGAAATAATTACATTACTGATTTTATTAAATTAATAATTTGTGTTAAGCAATAGTATACTTTTCATTTCTGGTGATGTCTTGAACTTAGCTTTTGTTAAAATTAGATGGGATTGTTATGCATTACCTCGTCTGTCCTATATCTTTTTGATTTTGAATCGTTTTTCAGTTCATTACTTGCGAATAACTTTTAAATGTTTGAGATTTCGTCACTGGTTGCTAATAATCAGAAGATTCAGAATTATTCGTGGGGCGAGCATATTGAATATGGCTTTCTCGTACTTGCCTAAGAAAAGTGTCGAAATACCATTGAAAGACAGTGCAGAAAATGTAAGTAATGTTCAGTTTTTGTCGTGAATGTTGATTCCAGCATCAGGAGTAGACCTTATGCTAGTTACCACTAGAAAAATGAAATATGAACTGAAATCAGTGAATATTGTGTAGCAATGTAAAGTAATATAAGTGAATTTTAAGCAGAATGTCGTAGGTTGTTGTACAAATGTTAAGTGTTAACTATATTTGATTTTGTACATTTACTGTTCGTATTGCATGCAAATTTTCGCTTCTATTTTTTGGCCACTTAATTTTTTGATTTTACATTATGGGATTGTTGTAAATTTACACCTTGGGTAGTGTGAAAGTAACATTATTTGTGAGGCAGTTTTTAATAGGATGTGCAACGATGTGTACAAGATTTTTGCGTAGAAGTGTGGAATAATACACAGTCTTGGGAAGAAGTAAATGGAACAGCTTACAGTTTGCTGGAAAAAATCATTAATAGTCGATTATATGTGATGTATTATAAATCAGCCGGTAATGTTTCGAAAAGAGGTATTGCTGAGAGTGAACATACTCAGTCTGATTTAAGTGCTATATTATTATCTAAGAAACGTGTTAGTAATATTGCTGAAAACGACAGTTCTGTGCAAAATAAGTTGGAAACTAATGAAGTCAGCAAATTGATGGAGAACATTGTCGGTGATGTTGAAGAGTTGGTAACATTGGTAAATAGTCAGATGGCTCGAATAGTGGATAATTTGCAAAGGTCGCGTGAACGTTTTGCAGGTTTAAAAAAATTGGAGAGAATGAAGGAACTAAAAGAAAATCAAACTTACAAACGAAGCTTTAAATTAAAAGAGATGAATGAGATTTTACCGCTTATTGTAAAGATGTATCAAGAAGAGTTGAAAGCAAAGCGTGCTGCGCTTGATGATTTAGCAAATTTCAATAACAGGAAAGTATTTATGGCAATTATGGCTTCATGGTCCCATCAAGGTTTCATAGATCGTTCTTTGTTGAGTCGATTGTATTCACTTGTTGTTTGATCGTTTATCAGTATTACAGCTTTGAAGGATGGAATTATTTCTTTATATACTGCCAAGATTCTTGGAGACTGTATGTAATCCATTGTCAGTGAGCTCATAATTATTTATTGTTCAGTTCTTCGGGTGATATAAATATACACGAAATTTTATCTTTTGAACATTGACTTATGTTTACGATTGAATTTTTTTAAAAATTGTTCTTATCACTTGACATGAATAAATTTTGCAATTTTCGTAGCTCTTGCATAGTTACTGAGTAATTAAAAAAAATTTAGCCTAATAAAAATTATTCTTTAAACAACTTCACTTTCAGAGAAATTTACAGTAATGCTTTTGGGATATTAATTTTGAAACTTTTTGAATTACAACTATTAATAATAAAATAGTTCATTTTTTGAGAATTGTAAAAGAACAATCACAGCAAATATCATTTGCCACACAATGTCAAGTTTATTTGCTTGAAAAATTTTTTGGCAGTCATTTAAATAACTAACACATCATTATTGATATAAATTCACGGAATGCTTTTTTTTTTGAAGAGGAAAGATTCTAGGAAATAATCGAGTTGGATTTTAAAAATTTGCCAGAGGATGGTGAAGAAGTTCTTACAATTTTACGTGGCGAGCACGCTGCACTTAATTTTTGGGTCGATATAGCGGTTAGTTTTATATGGCTTTAATGTTTCGAAACTGTCATTTTGGGGAAGTTTTCATTATTTTGCAGTTTCTTGCCAAATTTCCCAATATTTTTAATAAAAAGAAGATTTCTAGCTAGCTTATTATCGTCGTGGAAATGAAGCGGATTTCGTCCGTATTTTGGAAATGAGTGGTTCGGAGGCGAGTCTTGATTACCCAGAATACCACCAAGACCAAATGCGAGCTCTTGATACACTTGCTGCTTATTACGTCGTGCAGGTGTGTTTCATCTTTTTAATTATAACTTATTTACTTTCAGTAAAATAGAAATGAGGAAATATAGAAGTTATGTCATATTACAATTTGTTTGTTCTAAATTCGTAATGTGAAATTTTTTAATGAACTATTGAATATAAAATATTTATAGAGTCACAAAGAACGTAATAAGGAAAAGAAAAAAGAATGGCAAACTAAAGCAACACTGCTGTATACTACAGCAGATAAGATTATCATGTACGATACATATCATCTTCTGGGAAGAGCTTATTTTTGTTTACTAGAAGGCAAAATTGATCAAGCAGAGCAACAGTTCAATTTCGTGCTTAATCAGGTCTGATGATAATTATTATAGCTCTGTAATTTTACCAAATTTCTGTAATTCTAGGAGTCGCTCGAAGAATGACATTTGGTATATGTTTTTATTCTTTTAATTTGTTGTCACTTTATTTTAAGAGCCAGAGATTTACTTCTAAAGTTTTTATGTCTGATTGTGTTATTTTTAAATGACGATTAAATTCCACTGTTGTATATTTTGACTACATTTTCCGGAAATCGCATTACATTTTAGGTTGGTGAAAACATACCAGCAACATTAGGTAAAGCATGTATATTTTTTCAACGAAAAGAATATCGAAAAGCATTGAATTGTTATAAAAGCATATTGCGAAAAATGCCCAATTGTCCAGCCGACGTTCGCTTAGGCATGGGTTACTGTTTAGCGAAATTAGGACGATTGGACAAAGCAAGGTTATTTTTTTGAATGCGGTGTTCACAATATTAATTGATTTATTTATTTAATTTTCATGAACTTCTTTTCTAAAATATAGAGCGTATGATTTTCATAACAGTTGTCAAATTTTTAAAACAATAGTGCACTTTTATGGATTGAAGAAATATTATTCCTTATTTGCAATTTTTTCAGATTAGCTTTTGAGCGGGTCTTAGATTTGGATAATTCTAATGTATCAGCCCTCGTTGCATTAGCAATCTTAGATATGAATACATTAGAGCAAGAAGCAATACGAAGAGGAGTAGAATCACTGAGTAGGGCATATCAATTAGAACAAGAAAATCCAGTTGTGTTAAATCATCTTGCTAATCACTTTTTTTATAAAAAGGTAGTTTATTTTTGGCTACTTTGATATCAAAAAGATGTTTTCGAAAAAATAGCGTATTCATGATAATAAAGAGAATTTGAACATTAAATCAGAAATAAACAAACAACATAACTATGAATACACAAAAATCATAAAAAGTGCGAGAAAGCTGAATTTAGAGCAAGTACTACTGTTATTTCTGCTGTTGATTCTTTTTCCATCTTTCTTGTTTGCAAATATTTCTTCTTTTGGTAATGTGTCCATAAATGAAAGATCATTAAATAAAAGTTCATTTTAGCAAGATAGTTTTATTCAATGTTTTATTACTCACAGTTTTAGAACTGTTAATGTCTTAATTAGTGTACTGCAGGAATTGGATAGAGTGGAGCATTTAGCTTGGCATGCATTTCAAATGACGGATAATGAGGCCATGAGAGCCGAAAGTTGTTTTCAGTTAGCGCGGAGTTTTCATCAAAGAGGAAATTTTGAAAAAGCTTTTCAAGTTAGAAACAGTTCACCTCATTAATACCATATCATTGTTATTCGACGAGAACCAGTCTTTCAAAAATTTTTTTCTTGATTCTCGTCTAAAATTTAATAATTCATGTAGAATATATGAATGTCTTCTTCTATTAAGCACTACTATCAGTCGACTCAGTTTGCCTCATCGAATTTTGTCTTGCCGTATTTTGGACTCGGACAAATGTATATTTATCGTGAAGATTATGATAATGTGAGTTCTCATATTATGTTAGTTGCGGTAACATAAGTTACCGCTGCTTTGATGTTTGCATGTAAAGTGTGATTCTAATGTAAAATTCAAGGTCTAGTTATTTAAGATCAAATTTTTTCTGAGATTTTAGGCAGTGCAGTGTTTCGAAAAAGTTTTGAAAAGTTGTCCAGCAAATTACGACACGTTGAAGATCTTAGGATCATTGTATGCACATTATGAGCTAGGAAATCAAAAAGAACGTGATGAGCGACGAAAAAAAGCTAGAGAAATTTTGAAAAAAGTTGTTGAAATGTGTCCCGATGATGTGGAAGCATTGATCGACATTGCTCAGTTGACGGAAAACTGTGATCCGCAAGTAATTTATTCTGTAATGTGAAGTACAAATTTCATATCACAGGATCTCTTCAACGAATAAAATAAGCACGTAATGATCATGATCTTAGTGATTTTTCGTTGCTTTATTTTATATGATGTTATTGTAGGGTTCCTTGGCTGCGTACATCAAAGCGTCTAATTTTCTGAATCGGATGATTGAAGTAGATGTTCCACCGGAAATAACAAATAATATTGGATCACTATATTTTGTAATGGGACAGTATGAAAAAGCTAAAGTACGTTTCAGACATACTTCTCTATTTTTGTAGCTATACGCTCTTAACCTTCATTTTTTTCATTCAGGATCATTTTGAAACAGCACTAAAAGAGCTTAATGAAATTGTTTCTTCGGGACAAACAGAATTGGCCGCATTGCAAACTACGGTTACTTATAATTTAGCACGGTGCTTGGAAATGCTTTGTATGTTTGATGAAGCTGAGAATTTATATAAAGGAATTCTACAGGAAAAGCCCAGTTATATTGATTGTAAGCTTATTCTTATGAAATTGGCTATTGTGGTCAATTATTGGTACTTGTTAATGCTCTTTAAAGTAATGATAGTGAAGTAAGGCTACGCTTAGCTCTTAAATTTTCATATTTCTTTGAATAAATTTTTTTTATATGTTTGGTACTGTGCTGGGAAATAATTTACAGAATAAATGAAATAATAATTTCCGATATGCTTCTGAGCTTTTCAGGTTACATGCGATTAGGATGTCTAGCTCGAGATAAAGGCCAAATTTATGAGTCTTCTGTTTGGTTTAAGGTATAAATTTGGCTAGCATTCGAATTTTGTTCATTTACTTTCATGTTTCATCATTTTCTAAAATTTAATTATTTGCTAGGAAGGAATGAGTGTAAACCAGTCACATGCAGATGCATGGTCTTTAATTGGAAATCTGCATATGTCAAAATATGAATGGGCTCCAGCACAAAAAAAATTCGAATACATTCTGAAACTCCAGGAATATCATGATGACCCTTATAGCTTTGTTGCGCTTGGGAATATTTGGTTGGAAACATTGTCATCCATCCATCGAAAAAAGGAAAAGGTTTTATCCATAATTATTTTAACATAGTCTTTTTATTTCCGCATTTATGAACAGGCACTAGTTATGTATTTATATTTTCTGCATTGTTCATCGTTGTTATTACTACACCTAGGCTTATATTTGTGCATTAATGATAAACATGTTTATTGTATACATTCAATGAAAGTAATTATTTAAGACAATATCTTCTGAATCATTCAGGATAAAGATTACCGTGAGAGAGCTCTGATGATGTATAGTAAAGCGCTAAAAGTACATCCAAAAAACATATGGGCAGCTAATGGAATCGGTTAGTTCTCAGTAAATTTGTTTTGTTTTTCTTTCACAAGTTTTGGCTATCTACATTAATTTTTCAAAACTTGATAGAAATAATATATAGTGTGTATTTGTCATAGCATCCATTTCGCAGTTTTCTGCGAGGTTTTCGATAATTATATTCATGAATTTTCAGGGTGCATTTTGGCACAAAAAGGAGCAATACAAGAAGCTCGAGATATCTTTGCCCAGGTTCGAGAAGCAACAGCAGATTTTTCGGATGTTTGGGTCAATATAGCACATGTTTATATGGAACAGAAGCAATATGTTGCTGCAATTCAAATGTATGACAACTGTATGAAAAAATTCAATCGTCACAATGATGTCTCTCTTTTGTTATATTTGGCAAGAGCACATTACAAAGCTGGGAAATTGATTGAATGTAGGCAGATTCTTGAAAAGGTCATGCTTATTTCACTTTAATTAAAGAAAATTGGTCCAAGTTATAGTGTTTATTGTTTTAGTAGTGAGATAGCTTAGAATTAAAATTTATTATTGAGTGAAAAAAAAAACTGGAATCTATCTGATATTTATAAAACGTTTTAAGTACGAGATTTAATCGTATTTCACATCATAAAGTTGTTTGTAAA